AACGTTAAATTCAAAATAACATTCATCTTTTTAATGAAAAATATTATTTTAGAACTAAATAAAAATTCGAGTGAATATTTTATAGTTCTTAATAGTTAAATAATTTAATAAAATAATACTTTATATTTGAAAGAACTTCTGAAAATTTTAGAATATATTTGAATGTAGCTCGTAAAATCCATATTATTTCCCGCTAAACTCAGACAAGTTTTCCCGCTCCATATACATTTATACTTATCGTCTCTCTTTTCCCCGCCAAACCCCATTGATATTCTCTCTCTCACGCACACAGTTTCTTTGAGAAGGTTTACAATGGCGGGCTCTAAGAGAATCACTAAGAAAAGGAAGCGGTCATCTCGTTCACTTGGTCATTCCTTAAGGGGAATCATAACTCGTAGCAAATCTCAGATCCAGGTTCACTGCAATCGGTCAGGTAAATCTCGAACCCACTCCATCGGCCGCGGAAAACACCAAGATCTGCGATCCCTTTTCAAGAAACCCAGAAAAAAGCTCACCACTTGAAGATTCAGTGGGGTGCGATTTATCTTCCGTTTCCATCAAGGATCTCCGGTTAAGACGGGTCTTTTCCCCTTCTTCCAATGATGGGGTTTTTCGTAACTGTTTGGTTGATGCTCATAATCTGGGAAAAAGTGAGCTTGCTGTGAAAATTTTGGGTGATGTTGAGAATCTGGGAAAAAGTGAGCTTGCTGGGAATTGTTCGGATGATGCTGAGAATCTGGGAAAAAGTCTTCTTGCTGGGGAATGTTTGGACGATGCTGAGAATCTGGGAAAAAGTCTTCTTGCTGGGGATTGTTTGGACGATGCTGAGAATCTGGGAAAAGGTGAGCTTTCTGGGAATTGTTTGGATGGAAGGAAAGAAAAATCTGGAAATGGGGATTTTAGAAAGTCAGAGATGTCGAATGAGGAACTTGTTCAGTCAACTCCACCTGATGCGGAGATCGTTGGAGTTGAGCAAGTGGGTGTGAGAAATGAAGGTGAAAAGATCAAGAAAGAAAAGGGCTCTCCTGAAGAAAGGAATGAAACGAACTACTCAACGAAATCGGTAAGATTTTAATGTCGTTTTGTTTCCAATTTCTCTAACAATGATGCTGAATAAGTTAATTTTCATTCAATGGCGATTGTATATGTGGGTTTGTGTAGATTCGTAGACCATGTTCTCGAGTGAAGCTTTTCAAAGCGCCAGTCTCATTCAGCTTAAAAAGATTGCTTCCTTATTTGACGGATATAAATAAAGAGTGTCCTGGTAATTCCCCTGCTTTGATTTTGTTCCACTTTCAAGCATTGGTTGTACAAGAAACCATGGCATTACAACATTCTTGCATATGATCTTTACAGGCTCCCTGATAATGGTCCGTTGTCCGAAAACTGAAAAGGGTTTAGAAGAGAAGCAATTGTTGGGTTCAAATGTTGAAGAAGCACTGGGAGATAAATCTGTGGCGACTGGCTCCTTCACCTCACTTGTTAATGGAGGGATTAAGAAATTTGAGTTGCAAGTTTCTACTGAAGACCAGAACTCGAATTGCTTGAAAAATTATTCATCTTCGACTATTGAGGATTCTCATTTCACGGGGAAATTCACTGGTGTGTTGCCTAATGATAAAACGTTGGCAGATGATGGTGAGGTTGCAAAAACTAATGTTGAATCTCCTTGCAATGTTCAAGTTTTGAACTGGAAATTTTCTCCGGTTAACGATTATAATGAAGTTACCAAAAATTACAACGAGGAAATGAAGCAGTCTGAGATTGAAGACAATGATACTGAAGTTGTGGAAAAAGTCGAGACTTGAATGTACAATGCATGTCAGTGACACCACCAGACTCCGGCATGATTTCTAAAATGGAGACTGATGATAGCAGAGGCATCGGAGTGGATTGCCTTTCTCAAGGAACGAATCTAGATGGTGAAAAGTTGAAGAATGGAGCCTTTCACAGAAACGTGGTCACTCAAGTCCTAAGAACAAGTTGGTAAGATGCTATCACCTTTCAGACTATTTTCAATATGGTAGATCATTTTCACAGTGCATACTTTGCTGATAAGTTCATATGCAGCTATACTAGTTAATGGCGAAACTTAGACATATTTCATGCTAATGTAATTGGTCTTTGTAATGTTGAATAGGTCTCAAACCAGCAGTTGCGTCCGAAGTTATGTAAAATCCCGGGTTCTTTCAGTTATCGAAGGTTGCTTCCGTTTCTGATAGACTTAACTAATGATAACTCCTGCGAGTCCTTTACTTCCTTGACTATCTCCCACTTACCGAACCCTTGTTGCTTTCGAATGGTTCCATTGTTTATGAATTAGTTTGGAGCCTAAGTATTTGTAATCTGTTACTTGGATGTTTTACTAGGTGCTTCTGGCAGAACTTGCTCTGTAGAGCAGTATACCGGTGATGGTATTCGGGTGCCTGTGACTGAAGCAACTGCTATAGGATGTTCATCTAACGATAAACTGACACGATCTCCACCTAAACAACTTGCTGGTTCCTTGCTGATACCGGATTCACAACAGGAACATGCATCAGTTATTAAACATGCTGCATTGGACGCAAACCAAAAGTTAGAAACTAGCCCCAATCATGTGGTTGAGCCATCAGCCATGTCATCTAGTCCTCTCATCAGTTCTGGACCGTTCCAAAGAGAAGAAGAATCTAAGTCAGTGTCTTGTCGGCTAACCTTTGAAGCCGAAGGGGATACCACAAAGTCTACTGCAAAATGTGCAAATCATGTAAAGCTAATCGAAGCTGATTGCTCAGGAGAAGCATCTCTTCCTATAGGACTTCCTATTGTCAGTCTCGAAAAGGGGATCCTTAAAAGAAATCCTCCTGAATGCAGAGGTATATGTTCTTGTCTGAATTGCACGTCTTTCCGGCTTCACGCGGAGAGAGCATTCGAATTCTCAAGAAACCAGATGCAAGATGCTGAAGAAGTGGCCTTGGATTTGATTAAAGAGTTATTGTTCCTGCGGAATGTCTTGGAGAAATCCGCTTCTGGTTCTAATGATCAGTCCAGTATATCCATCAATGAGGTAAACGACATACTACATACAATCCAATATACTTGCAGAAACTTGTGCCGAATCTCTAATATGCTGTGTTTAGGTTACAGATGCTTGCAAGAAAGCCTCTGAAGCTGAAGAACGTGCCAAAGCTCTTCTCGGCGAAATGAACTACGATCTAAACATTCATTGCAGAATCCCAGTGAGTATAGTTTGTGCTTTTGCCCTCCATACAACACCTCTGAACAGTTTACTCATCTTGTACTTTAAGAATGGCTAGTCTAACAATTCAAAGTTGTTGCTCATGTAGTGTGGGCTGCGACCGAGCGTGAGATTCGCCAATTATGTCGAAGAACAAATCATTCCGATAGCCGATTCATCAAATAAATAGTTTTACATTACTGCAATGGTAGCTGCAGTGCTTTCTTTGTGATTGTTGTTCCGTAATTAGCTAAGTAGCTATGTTACTTGGATTTGGTGTGAGTGTGAGTATTTGTATCGAATAGCAGTTGGTCTTGGACTGATATCGATGTATACATTTTTGTCCACATAGTAGGCGTTATTGGATTTAAGTACGTTTAAACTCATAAATTTGATCTTTATACTTGCAGGTTGTAAACGAATCAAATGTTCAGTGAATTGTTTCGTAAATCGTTCCTGAAAAATTCGTTTATTTATTAAATGAATAAATATAAATAATTTTTTTGGTTGTTTAAAATAAGTGAACGAATACGAACAAAGAATTATTTGTTTATTTACGTTTGATAATTCGTTTGTTTATGTGACCAAACATGTAGTATAACCTACAGTATAAGAAATTAAAAGTACAACCTATATGTAGTATAAGGACTAGTAAGAGAATTTGACCAAAGTTTCAAACATGCAAATATTGGATGAAATTGACACACCACGCTCTCTTCACGTGACGCGATAGCTACTTGTAAGATTATTATTATTATAGAGTTATTGTTTTGGACTGTAGCTGCAGTGTGGGTGAAGGACTTGTAATGTATATTTTATAAAGTTGATGCATGCATCGGCATGGCCATGGCCATCCTCTTCACTTCACTTCCCTTGGGACAGGAAACCCTTATCCTTTCACAGGCTCTGACTCTCTACTTCCATAAATTTGCCCATTATTTGTACCACCTTCTTTTGACACTTGTCATGCCATGCCTCTTCTAAGTATAATATCTCGTAATTGTTTGAGTTGTATTTTATAGATCGATTCTTCATTTATATTATATTTTTTAGTTAATGCTTAAAAGATTATATTATCGATTCAATGCTTGAAAGCAACAATGATATTAATAAATTTTATAAAATTTTATCATATATTGGTATGTGGGTTAAGCCAACTCGAACAATCTTTAATTTTAATAGGAAATAATGAGTTTGAAAGATATAAATAGTCGATGGTCATTTATAACTTCTAATAGTTAGCATACTCAACAAAACATGCTTATAATTAAGAGATCATTTTATAATTTATAATAGTCGAGAAATTTAACAAAATACAAACCTATAATCAATGAACTATATTTACCCTTTATATTATTGTTACAACTAAATCAATTAATTATAATAAAGTTAATAAATTTTAGGATAAGATACATAAATGATCCATCGATTATAGAATATTGTTTTATTGAGTATTTCGACTATTAAAAGTTATAAATGATATCTGATTGTAAGACGCTTTTTTTAATCTTTTAATTATTAAAAGTTACAAAATGATCACCCGACTATTTATTGTATTTTTAACTCGTCCTATTTCGTTAAAAAATTGATGGTAATTTAAGTTGTACGTTAATCTACTGAATGTGTTGTGATATAATAATCGTTTGAGATTATGTTCGATTTTTCTATACAGAGGAAATGTGATCAAAGTGTAGCATGCATTTGTCACGGAAGATTACCTATGTGCCAGGGGAAGAATTGCCTTTTCAACATGCTTCCATATGCCCCCATTAAAGAACAGCTATTTTGATATTCGAAGCATGAAGAATTTATTACCAGAAACAGAGGATTTACAGCTATTTTCAACACCACAAAATCATTAAATTAGAACCAGAAATTGAAAGGAAAAAAAAAGATGGATGAAAACAAAGAATATTAATAACTTATTCGACCCCCAAGCATCAAGTTGAGTTCAACTTGATCACGTAGAAGAAAACATAAAAGAATATGACAAAAGTTCCTTTTAGGCCCTCCGTTTACACTCGGGGGGAACACCCTGAGGGAAACGCTTCAAATCGGTGCAATAGTTGTAAATCATGAAGTATTTTTGAAACCCATCTCAATCTCCGCCTCCCGGGGGCATCGAGCTCGGTCGTTTCCCAAGCACCGTCGGAGACCGAGTTCGTCTTGCCGCAAGACGAACCTGTCCCCGACCAAACACAAGCCTTGTTGGCATTGAAGTTCCGGTAGTATGCGGTGAAGGGTGCCTTCGTCCAATCGGTCTTCACCAACCCGCCCCTCGTGGCCCAATCGTCGGCGTTCCACAAGCTCGAGTAGATCCTCATGGGCTGGCTCTTGGGGAACGGCACTCCGATCGCCTCGGCGTTTTTGAACACTCGGATGGGAGTGTTGTCCACCAAGAATCTGACAAAACAGAACAACAACAAAGATTTGTTTATTAGTTGTGTTTTGTTTAGACAAATTGGAAGACAATTGATGCTCTTACATGATGTGCTGTGGCTTCCAAATGATGGAATAGGTGTGGAAGTTCCTTGACGGGTCAAACCATAGATAAATTGTTTCTCTGTTCCCTTTGCCTTGTGTGTACACATTGTGTGCAATATGTAGGGGTCACCACTAAGATTCCCCAAGAATTCGAAGTCGATCTCATCGTGGGTGGCCCTTGAGAAGACAACTGCAACCCAAAAAAAAAGATTTACATATAGTAATATTCGAATTCATTCTCGAGTTCCAACAGTAATGTCAACTTACGTAAAGCCGTGACCGTGCCAGCGGAGTTGCCGGAGACGAGCTTGAGCTGCATGTCGATCTCCCGAACAAATACTCTTTCTTGGACTGAAAACCAGACCCCGAAACCCTGTCCAAGGACAAGGACAAGAGCTTACCGCCGTTAAAAATCTTGCCCTTCTGTCACCCCATGTCAGGTCGAAATCCTGGTAAAAGTCGCCACCGTAGCGACGGATACCAAGGAGTTCAGACCAAACAAGCCATTAAAGACATCGAAACAACATTAGAACAAGAACCCATTTTTCTTTCAAGTGGAAACCAAGGATGGGTGATAAAAAGAGAAAAGAGAGGATTTTTTTTATGAATGTTGAGTTTTGTTTTTCAAGAGATGGTATTTATATAGGCTAAGAGTAACGCGTGAGGCAATAACTAAGGGGGAGCCGAGTTGAAGAGCTGGTGACAGCTGCTGAGCATGTACTAGAATAGAATCAAAGCTGGAAGTTTGGAAGCTTTTGTTTTGGGGCTATGGGAAGAAGGGTTTGATTGGAATTTTGTGAGAGAAACTATGTACAATGATTTTGTCCCCATGGAAATAAGCTAATGCTAGGGGTCCCCTTCACTATGATTTGCTTGCTTATAGGAGGTGGATCACAACTCGGATTCTCCATGGTGAATCGGTGAACGGGATTAAGGATGGTCTTTGGACTCGAATTCGACGAGTTTGGATTTAATCTGACCTGATTGGATTATATTCTTCCGAAAAAAATTTAAGTTCGGGTCAAATCGGGTTGAAACTTTTTATCCTTGATCCATGGGCGTTGCATTTCAAACTCTTGGGGTAAGTTTTGCCATTATTTTAAACCCTCAAAGCAATCAAAGTACCAACGAAATAAGTTGAGACGCAGAAGGATGAACCTTTAGATTATAATTATCACATCATTAAAGAATGTTGTTGAGAGGCCGAAGCACGGTTGAAACTTTTAATCCATGATTTGAATTTGATTCCTTTAAATGGTTGGGCAAATTATAGATTTAGTATCTAAACTATCAGTTTTGATTCGTTTTAGTATCTAAATTATCAATTTTAGTTCGTTTTAGTACTAACTTTTATTTTTTTAAAACCATACCTAAAGTTTAATTTTTGTTTCATTTTAGTACCCACCGTTAAAAACTTTAGTTTTTTGTTTCGTTTTAGTACACCTGTTCAAAATTTAATATCAAGGTTTGAAAAATTAAAAGTTTAGGTACTAAAACGGATCAAAACTAATAGTTTAGGTACTAAACGCGTTAAGTTTTTAACGACATGTACTGAAATGAAATGAAAACTAAACGTTAGGTAAGCTTTTAGAAAAATTGAAAGTTTAGATACTAAAACAGACCAAAAATAATTTGATTTTTAACGACATGTACTGAAATGAAATGAAAACTAAACGTTAGGTAAGCTTTTAGAAAAATTGAAAGTTTAGATACTAAAACAGACCAAAAATAGTAGTTTAGGTACTAAATGCGTAATTTACCCTAAATAGTTTAGTATGATTACAAGATAATATATATTTGTATTCTTTTTTTAATTATTGACAACACATACACATTCTATAGACGTATTTGCTCAATCCCAAAACTTTTAGAGTAAATAACATTCTTTTAAACCATTAAAATTGTTTGATGATTTCTCTATAATTTGATTTTTAAAATGTTGATGGTAAGTAAATGATTCAAAATCACAGGTAGCATTCTCTTAACAATGTAATGCAATAATCTCTCTGTGTTTTATGGGAAAAAGTAAAAGAAAATCAAATTAAAGGACAAAATATATATATTTTGTTTATACAATGGACCAGAAATTTGGGGAGCTGTTTTGAAAGTAAGAGAAAAGCTGTGTATATCATCACATTGCTTTAATAGCAGAAGAGTGCAGCTTTAATTACTCTCACCAGCGCCAATATTCTGGTGATTACCTATTAAAAATAATTAAAATACTTTGAGGGTTTTAAGTATAAAATAAGTGTTTAAATTATACATGTTTTCACGAATAAGTGTTTAAAGTATTTTTTGATAAATCCAGATAACTAATGTTATAAAAGTTATTACTTTCGGTGCTCGAGACGTCAACGACGTTAATTTCCTCCGTAAAGTGACATGTGTCACAATATGATAATTTTAAAATTTTTATATAAAATTTTAAAAATAAAATTATATATATATTAAAAATAAAACACATAAATTTTGAAATAAACTCAAAACTTTGAAAATATTCATTTCAACCCCTAAACCCACGTCGACCACTCCCTTTCTCATTGACAAAGCTCCACCCGACCTTACCTCACCCGACGATCAAAATCCTTATGAAATCGTGACCAATCGACGACCGATCGGTGATGAATCAATGTTTTATACCCCTCGAACCCTAGGTTGAAAATCACGATCCCACACGATTCGTATGTCGGCAACAAATACGATAGCGTATGATTAGGAGGATGGCAAGGACTACGTCGGCGGCAGTGGTCGTGACCAGAAAAGGTTGCAGTGGCAAATTAAGGTTTGGATTTAGAGATTTTGAGGATTTGGGGGCTATTTTATAATTTAAGAGAAATTAGATTTTTATAAATATAATAATATTTTTAATATTTTTTCAAAAAAATAAATTTCAAAATCACTATATTGTGACACTGTCACTTAACGGGGGAAATTAATGTTGTTGACGATCCGAACACCTAAATGGGTAATGTTTGTAACTTTAGACACCTGGGTGGGTCGAAAAACACTTTAGACACCTATTCGTAAAAATAGATATAATTTGAGCACTTATTTTATAATTAAGCCTACTTTGAGCGTACTTAAATGATATAATGTAACTATATTATAATTCTAAGAATTATATTTACTCTCCGAACAAATAGTATCTTATTCCAAGTGCAATCTAACAATTCTTGTTTTAACTTAACATGTAGTATATGTGATTAAAATTAGGGTAAATTACACAAATGATCCTCCAACTTTAGGGTACTGCTTTATTATGTCTCTCGACTACTAAAAGTTAGAAAATGATCCTCAGTATAGAGTGCTACTTTGTTGAGTCCCCAAATTGTTAAAAGTTACAAATTGAACACCCGACTATTCATTATGTTCCGAATTCGTCATTTTCCTTTAAAAATAGATGATATTACGAGTTGAACGCTAACATGTTGATTGTGATATGATAAAATTTGATATCAAAATTGTTGGAAATAGTAACTACAAAACAGAGTTGTTGGCACTGACTGGAAGTACAAATAAATAAAATAAATTGTAACAATAAAACCGTGTCGTGGTGATCCACTGCCTTAGAAGCTAATTCAACCCGATGAGTGTAATCACAACAATGGTTGAATGCCCCTGATATTAACACGGTTATCCAAAAACACGTATACCCAAGAGATTGGAGTGGACAAAGGTGGTATTACTCTCCATCACTGATAATTTCAAAAGATGGAAAACTTTGAAGAAACGCTTGTAGAAAGAGAAGAAAACTTTGAGAGTAGAGAAGAAATGTTTGTTTGATGTTAAATTTTGAACGGGTACTAAAATAAGTTAACGCATTTAGTACATAAACTATAAGTTTTGGTTTATTTTATTACCTAAACTTTCAATTTTTTTCAAAACTTAATGTTAAATTTTGAACGGGTACTAAAATAAAACAAAAATTAAATTTTTTAACGACATATACTAAAATGAAACAAAAATTAAACTTTAGGTATGGTTTAGTAAAAATTGTAAGTTTGGTATTAAAATAGACTAAAATTGATAGTTGAGATACTAGACGCGTAATTTACTCTTTTTTTTTGACAAAAAATGGAAAAAGGGGAAGAATGTTTAGAGGGCCTAATTTGGATGCATTGCGAGAGTTATTGTTCTCACCTAATTATTGGTGAACAAAAGTAAAGCATGAGATGGATAGCGACCTAATTTGGAATTTGAACATCTTTAAATTCATTTAGATTACTGTTTTGAACCCATTGAGTCACTTCCGTGGTCCGGGTGTTGAAACGATTAATTTGGTCACCGACTGAACTGAATTACAATGTATCAAATTAATTAATTTTTTTCTTTAATTGTTAACCGAATCGAATCAAACTTTCTCTTAAATATTAACCAAACAAATTAATTATTCCGGCCGGTTAAACGAATTAATCAAAAAAATTTATAATTTTTTAATTACATTAATTTGATTATAAAAATAATAATTTGGGTTAAAATTTAATTAGGTATTGATAATTTAATGAATTCAGTGTTGTTAAAAAATAATTAAGTCTTGATTCTTAATGAGTTTGAGCTTAAAATATGGATTTAATATATATATATATATATATATATATATATATAATATTTAATAATTTTAGTTAATTCGGTTAATTAATCGAATTCAATCCGAATTAACCGTTAATCGAATATTGAAAAAAATTAATCGTTCTCCGATCAAACTAATTTGTTGGTCGATCGGATTAACCGAACTTATTCATTTTAGTTGGTTAATTCGGTTAAAATTGAATAGTGAACAACCCTATTAGTGGTTAAAGGAAGTGTTTTTCTCTTTTAAGTCTGAAGTTAGAACAGTTATGTTTACAGGATGTGTACGTTACTATCTTGTATATGACTTTTGACCCATGTACTTTACTTAAATTCTCATCTTGGCTTTGTACTATTTGTTTTCCTCAATTTGAATCTTGTGAAATTGCATTTTGATCTCCCATCTAAAGTTTAGGATAAATTACAAATTTGGTAATTAAACTTTACTCTCTCTCATATTTTACTCACTATACTTTAAATCTTTTCAATTTCCTCACTAAACTTAATATATTGGGGTTTTTAGTCACTCGGTTGTTTCCTCACTGACGACGTTATAAAAGAGCTTTAATATAGATGCAAAATAACGGCGTTTTGGTGAAGAATTTGTTTTTTTAAAACAATATTGTTTTTATTTATTTAACGATAGGATGACCCAAACAAACCCTATGTATTAAGTTCAGTGGGAAAATTGAAAACTTTTAAAGTTCAATGAGCAAAATAAGAGAAAGAGTAAAGTTTAGTAATGAAATTTGTTATTTACCCTAAAGTTTGTCCTCTTCAAATACTATAAAATTAGAATCAAAAGCAATGGTAAAATCATATTTTAACTCCTCAAAAAATTTATGAATCAATATGGCCATCAACAAAGATTTCATAGCTTCACCCTAACCAACAAGTTTTGTCGTACACATATTTATTAAATACTAACAGATAAGTTCATTCAGTTTAAACAAAATGTACTTGACCATAATTTGAACATAATTTTGCGATTTGAACGAGTACGAACCGACATAAATAAATTCAAAAATAAATGAATTAGATATCCCAACCGAATAGGCAAAGCTTGACGGCATGAATGGCATTTGGTTGAAGGTCAGTGTTCAATTTAAATCAAACTAAAAGCAATAGCTTTGAACAGCTCATAGTTTGGCTCCTGCTTGTCTCGTTATTTATCGCTCTTTCAATCTATCCGTTTTGGGACCATCCCATTCATATGATTAAATTTAAGGACCTTAAAAATTATTATTTTTATTCAAAAAGATGCATGCATTGTACCAATGTTGATGTATTTGAATATTTGCACAAAACCACAACTAATGATTATCTCGAAAATAAACAAATATATTTTTGAAATACAAATATCTTGATTTAGTGGGAGTACGTCTTTTAAATTATTTTAATTTATTTATGAAATAATTTTCGAAATTTATAAATGCTTATTACAATAATGTTATTTCTAAAATTTAAGTTTTTGTTCATTTTTTTGAAAGTGTAATGTACCTAACTAGGGATGGGCATGGGAGCTGAACCAGACAGGTTCCGACCCGACCTGACCCCATTGGGTCAGATTTTTTAAAGAAAAATTTCGGGTCCGGGTCAGGTTTTTTAAAGTTATGTTCGGGTCAGATTCGGGATTAAGGTGAAATGTATCAGACCCGACCTAAAAAATTATAATTTTACCTTATATTTAAAGTTTATGTATTAAAACAGATCAAAATTAATAGTTTATGTACTAAACGCAAAATTTACCCTTTAACATAATATGTACTTCCCCATCTAATCACATGACTCCTCCAGCATTATTAACTACTTCGTTTATCCCTCTTAAATACCACACATGATTTGTTGTTACTAAGGCATTTCACCTTAAAATCATAAAATAATTCACTCTAATTTTTTTTGTCATATAACTGTATTTTGTTTGGGTAAATTATATCCAATACTGCTTAATTATGAGGAATTTTAATATGATAATCGATCTTTTAATTTTTTTTAAGTAAATTATTTAATTATTTAAATGATTTTAATCAAATCATCCATCATTATTATTTGATTGAGGAGATGATGTAACAGCTAACAAAATTTATAATTATAAATTTAATCATCATTGCTTATACATTAAAAAATAGGAGATATTTTAATATGACTATCGATCTTTTAAATTTTCCAACCAAATCACTTAACTATTTAAATAATTTCAGTCAAGCCATACACCATTAACATTCGATAAAGGAGTTGACATGACGGTTAATAAAATTAATATAATTACGCATTTAATCCTTATCACTACACATTCTACTAAAAAATTACGAGAGATTTTAATTTGACCATTGGTCTTTTAATTTTTTTAAACCAGACCACTTAACTATTTAAATAATTTCAATCAAGCCATCTAGCATTAACATTTGATGGAGGAGTTGACGTGATAATTAACAAAATTAATATAATTACACATTTAGTCCTCAGTACTTATACATTAGAATGATCCTGATAGTTGGCGTAGGAAAATCTGGGATCTATCTTGTTTTAGGATTATCGTGTCCGTTGGTTCTTGACTTTGCTAGATTTCCTTGCTTCACTGGTGCTACTGTAGAGTGAAGCCGAGTGCAATCTGCTGGGAATTGGTTTTTGCTATATGATGTATCCCTGTCTACTATGGTTGGTACTTCCAGTGCCCTTGATTGCAGGCGAGCAGGCACTTTTTGGGGTCTGTTTTCTTTGGCTCTATAGATGCATGGTTTTTTCGTTTGCGCCTTCTAGTTTGGCATCGCCTACTGCTCTTCTCTTTTCGTCAGTTTGGTTCCTGTTTGATCCGTATTTATGAGATGGTCTTTAGGCCATTGTTGCAGTGAGTTTTGTGTTGCCTGTGGTTAAGCCCCCACTTGATTCCTTTGGCTGTATTTGAATCATACCCCAATGATAGTAAATGTGCATGTATTTGAGTAAAAATAGTAATTTTAATTATTTAAATATTAAAACATGTCATTTATCAGAATCAAATACATAAACACGGTAACCAAAGATCATGCTAGAAGCATTCGGTAATTCAGATATCGTGTGATCAAAATATAAAATTAAAATTTTTAAACAGTTCAGACAGATAATCAAAATAGTACTACAAATGAGTAAAAATAGTAATTTTAATTATTTAAATATTAAAACATGTCATTTATCAGAATCAGATACATAAACACGGTAACCAAAGATCATGCTAGAAGCATTCGGTGATTTAGATATCATATGATCAAAATATAAAATTAGAATTTTTAAACAGTTCAGACAGATAATCAAAATAGTACTATAACATCAATAAGAACACATCTCAACTGATCTGAGTAGTCTGAGACGGTCACCTACTCTCGGGTCTACCTATCACGGTCAACGGTAGTGCTAGATCCTATGAATCGGAATAACTGAAATCAGAATCCTAATAAAATAAGTAATAAACTTTAATCGAATAATTTACGGAAACCTACGAGTAGCTATCGAAGAACTCGAATTGCACAGATCTGCAGGGCGGGTAGTGTCGGACATAAATGACTCTCGGTCAGGGGTGTCTCGTGTACCTTCATAAAAATATAGCCTCAAATTAATTTCATTATTATATATTGAATAAATAAATAGAAAGCTAAATCTACTGAGCATTTATGGATTAACGGGCTTGATTTGGGTTTCTGGTCAGAATTTGACAAAACTGGCCGCAAAATCGGACTCAGGTCGTCGAAAAACATCGAGAGATAGGTTTTCAAAACAAGTCAATGCGTATCAACGGTCAAAGTCAACGACTCGGCGCGATGTGACTCGGCTCAGCTCATCTTGATCTGATTCAGTATGGTTGGATCGGCTCAGTCCGATTCAAAAATGTGCCGGTCTAGTTGGGCCGATTCAATTGGGTTTGGGCCAGACGAGTGTACGGGTCAAGTCAAATACGATTACGGATCGAATCGGGTCAACTGGTCGGGTTGATCCACTTTAAAGCGATCCACAAGGCGGTGGACGATCCCCACTCCCAGTGACGACGTATGGGGACGCGTACGGCTACGATGGTTTGATAAAATTTGATCTCATGACCGTTTGAGTTATATTTTGTAGATCGATTATCTATTTACATTATGTTGTGGAACACATGAATAGTCGGCTGATATTTTATAACTATTAATAGATGTAGGACTCAATAAAATAATGTCTTATATTCAGAGTTCATTTTATTACTTTTAATAATCATCAAATAAACGGTTTCTTATAATTAAAAATTATATATGAATCCATATGTTAAGGATTTTGTTTATATCAAAGGTAAGTTGAGACAAGATTGAAATATATTTTTTTAAAGGATAATAAATATTTGATTAAATATGTCAAGGTTATTGTATTATTTTAAATTTAGTGTTTATGTTTTATAATTTTAAATAAATAGATAATCATGTTGAATAAGCACGTATAATACACAAGCCTTCATGGTGTACCTACCAAAATCATTACAATTTTAAATAAAAAAGAAAAATTAGAGAATCAATTTCATTGAAATCTGAGTTTGACATAATTATTAAAAGATTTAATATTAAATTAGCAACTTTAATTCGTTTCAATTTGTTTATTCATGCATTTTACCCTAAATTTGTCCACTTCTACTAACTTATTATTAAAAGATTATTTTATTCTAATATTTGTTTAAAATTTTTAAATTCGAACAATTATATTTAAGGGATATACATACATTATCAATGATTAAATTTTAATATTTGAATCATTTTAATATATTTCGATTTATTTCGGTTAATATCAATTTCTACAGAACTTTACATGAAAATCATTAATTATGTTAAGGTTCAGCTATTACCTTCTGTTAAACTGCGGGAAAACTTCTCTATTTCATTGGACAACCTTCTGTTCCCTGAATCGGTGTCTGAACACGACCGAGAGACCATCAAATGAACGAGATACTCGCAAATTTCCGCCGGATCATCCGCCCAGGTGACGCTCCTCCGAGCATGCTTATCGCTGATCTGTTCTTTACCATTGTTGTACATTCGTTTTCTGCAAGCCTACAATACCAAAAATAACATAACTATAATGTTTTTATATCTATTTTACAAAGATTTTTCATTTTTCTTAAAATATTTAGGGTAAAGTATACAAATGATCTCCGAATTATAGGATATTGCTTTATTAAGTTATTCAACTATTAAAAGTTATAAAATAGTCATCCGACTATAAAGTAATGCTTTATTGAGTCCCTCGACTACTAAAAATTATAAAATAATCACTCAACTACTAAATATGTTCCAAACTTGTCATTTTCTGTTAAAAATTAGCAATTGTCTAAGCTTGACATTAACATGACGATTGAGATATGATAATCGTTGAGATTTTGGGATTAATTTTTATCATATCATAATCAGTAAGTTAATGTTCAGCTCATAATACCATCAATTTTTTTACGGAAAAAGACAACTTCGGAACATAATGAATAGTCGAGTGACCATTTTGTAACTTTTAGTAGTCAATGGACTTAATAAAATAATACCCTACAGTCAGGGAACCATTTGTGTATTTTACCCAAATATTTATTTATTATGATAACTCAAATTCGAAGATCATCCGATTATATGATAGTATTTAACACAAAAAGATCGAGTATACTCGTATCGAACACATAGTTTGGTTGATGAGCCTGTATAACATAGCTTTCTACATCTATGAGCATACTTTGTGCCATTGTGATAAGCTAAAGAAAAGAGAACAGAGAGCATAAAACAGTTGATGGTTTACCTGGAACACAATATTAAGGCTAGTTATATGCTCTGCCTTCAAGAATCCAGACTCGAGGAGAGCTCGAAACAAAAGCACCATCTCAGAGCTGACGTCGACGACTTTAAGGTTTTCGATTATAGAAGATAAGGAAAGGTCATCGAACACGATCCGCATCCACCCTGGAGTCTTCTCGAGCTTTAGCAATGCAACAGTTAGATGAACGGCAGGTTTGTGATGATTAATGAATGACTTTGATGCTAAGCATGGAACTGCCATGGACATAACCATTTCCTCCACAATTAGCCTATACCAGTTACCTCTCACAACTCCTGATTCCTGCATTTCCAGTTCCTTTTCCCACCCTAAAATTATTGATAAGCAGAGGCAACAGTTCATTGCCACCCGAATGTCGTCGTTAAATACCTGACCTTCTAATACAATCGTTAAGGTCTTTAGGTAACCAATGTAGCACTGTGACACCACATGTTTCCCTTTTTTCTGATATGATATTCCAGAAAGAAACTCCAACAAGCAAGATGAAGCAACAAGCTTGACGATTGGAGACCCGAAATGGATCATCCTGCATAAATCATGGTGATGAATGTTTATTGTAGAAACTGATTGTGTCATATCTGTTGACTCGAGGAACGTTTGCCTGTCTGCGACCTCCGGTAGAATAACACGGAAGCTGAAAAGTAAAGAAGTTGGTTTTCACGGCATGGATTTATAGAGGAGTAATATAAGAAGGTGCTTACCATCTTAAGGTGAAGTAGTATAACAAGAGCAAAAGTATTAGACTTTCCCCCGAGCTTGTTCCCTCATCATATTCTATTAGAGCAGGTCCCTTGGAAGTGACAACCTGGACCGTGCTGTTTATGATAGAGATCAAGGAAGCATTAAAAATTATGCTTTTGGTAGCCTCGATGAGTGCATGGCCAGAAGAATGATGCAAAATCAAGGAGAGAATTCCCACTAAAATTAAACCTTCATGATTCCAACCATACTTTCTAACTTCAGGAATTAAGCAGTCTATCAACTACAAAGAAAGTAAAAGACCCATTAATTTCCCGAAACCGGAAGTACTCGTAAAAATGAAAGCTGATGCGGTACCTTTGTAGACAATGCAAGCCAAGGTTCTCCATCAGAAAGTGTTTCATGGTGCACTGTACTTAAGATATTGAATAGCAGAAGTAAGATGGCCACAAGTAACTCTGAGGAAGAAGAATGACCTGAATTATAATAAACTACCATTAGGATTGAATTGCCTATTCCATGCAAGCATAGTTGGTCTGAGGCAGCTGGAAAGATGTTAATGACTGCTGATATAAGATTTACTACAGTTATAATGTCTTGATTCTGGGCTCCTTCCTCGGCAAGCTCTACCAATAAACACACCAAAAGTTTTGCAGCATGGTTATCTCTCGTTGCAACTAAGTCCGCAATTACACTTACATCTATAATGTGAGACTTATCCCTATGGATGAGTATTTGGTTTCTATCTGAGCAGTCTATTCTACAAAATTTTAGAAGTTGACTCGATAATGGCTTGCTGATTTTCTCCTGTTGAAACAACCATCTCACAGCTACTGGATGAATCGTTGCAGAATGCAAATCCCATTCACTTTGAGAGAGCATATGGAACAGGATCCTCTCAGCTTCCAGGCTGTGAGAAACTTGGTTTCTCAACTTAGAAAGACCTCTACATAGGCCATAAAGATTCAAAACTTGCATCATTGTCAAGGAATCAATGCTACCTGATAAGAAATCTCCACTGTTAACAAGAATATATTGCTCCAGAGAAGCTAAAACCGATCTCTCATCTGCAAGCCTGCGGAAGATATCAAGAGAGTTGGAAATATAGGTGAAGAAATAAATGTTAAAAATGCAACATGAATGAGATGAAGAAGACAGGCAGCTCATTTTTACCAGTCATCATGCAGGCAACTGAAATGCAAAAGCAGTAAAACTGCAGCTTGGCAAGAAGACAAATCTACATCACGGGAGTTTTTCTGCCCAAGCAGAAACAGCAAATCAATAGGATCAGATGGAAGAAAAAATGCAGCGTCCCTAATGTGCTGTCCAGATTGATTTCCCAAAAGAACTTCCACAAGTGAACTGAGCATTAGATAAACTCTCCATTTCATCATTTCAGCAGGAAATAGTCCTAGACATCCAAATGAAAAACTGAACCAAGAGGATGAAAGTAGGACTTTTGCTAGTTCTGTTGCTTGGATATCAGGATTTTGAACCAGTATAAAATGGAATGTCTCGAATACCCCCATGACAGTTTCCTCGTCAAGTTCATTAACAGCCATGGAAAACCAAGGTAATATATGTGAGGTACATATTTCCACAATACTAGTTCGCAGTTCAAAGTTGCTGGACTTGTTTGCAGAGCACTCTTCTTGACCGTATGAATATGCTTCTTTAAGAAGGTATAAAGAATGCAAGAGTCGACCAGGATCATTCTCAGAGACGGTCAGGCAAGCTAAAACAGCATGTTTCAATGCTTCTTGAAGTAATGATGGAAGATTTGAAGCCCCTTGAGAAGATGGGAATTTTAAAAGAACTACAAAGATGGAACAAACCAATACGAATGTCTCTGGAATCATGCCAATTTCCCCATCTCTATGCCTTTCAAACATCCTTGACAAAATAAGAGCCAATTCATCAATGTTAGAAGTTGATGCTATTCCAGGGCAATCAGAAACACAATTTTGTATAAGCAAGCTTCATAAGGAAAGGAGAGGATAATAAGGAAAACTTCCATAAAAGAGATTAAGAACTCTAACACAAGAGTAGACCAGTGGATCCTTGCATTCTGTTTAGCAAAAATAGAACTTCTTCAATGCAAAAGCCTCGCAGCATGGTATAATTATCACACATGGATATAGATATGCAAGCATACATTTTATGTCTGTACAAACATAAGCACCATGTTCACATAATATATTCCATGACGAGCACACATGAATTGTGTCAACCGATAATAATAGAATTTGAAAAAGAAAATGCTTTCATCACTAATTTGATTATTGAATTTTCTTAAAACAGAATGCTTGAAAAATTCAAAACTAAACTACTATGTTATTTTGTTTGAAGTACTTATGAAAGCAGTATTTTGGGTACTTTGACTCACTGAGGTAACTTGAATGTCATTCACCTGTTCCAATTTATATCACTTACCTGATAATCTTAATATCTCAAACACATAATCCACAATATTTTCTTCTACCAAAATTTGAATCTGTCTGGGGGAAGCATCTCCACATGACAAGTAGTGGAATATCAGATCTAATGTGCTGATTTGGACTTGGCTGTCTGATGAAAGCAGTGGGCCTTTGATAGCCTCGGCAAACAATATACTCAATGGGGATTCATCTAGTCCTTCTTCAGTCGTTTGCATGAAGTGGTCTGCTTCATCAGAACTCAAACTGCTTATTTCATTTCCAAGTCCATTTCCAAACAATCCAATCTGTGCCAAGAGCATCAGAAAAGCTGAAAAGGTACAATTAGAAATTGTTAGTTTGAGAGAATATATTATAATTATCATGACGCACTGCAGCTGCATTGGTGGAGGTGGCCTTACAGTGCGAGATGAGTACATTTCCTAATAAAGACCCTAATGAAGACCATGTTATGAACAACAGCGAGTTTAACCAAACAATTCGAATGATATTAACTAGCTACATGATAGACCTGACTACAGTTTATATTGGCACTAAACTTCGAAAATTTTAAACAAATCGCTGCAGAAAATAATTTGACAAACCTATTCCATTTAATCGTACATCATCTCTTTGGGTTTTCAGAAGGGCCTCCATTGACAAACGCAATAAACTGGGACAAAAAGCATGAAGAACATTTGCTCCTACACAATCTTTAGATGCATATCCTTGAGCAGATAGTTTATACAGAACAAAAAGAATCTCTCCTCGGATTTCATCACTGCAGTAGGAAACAACTAATTAACAACCCAAATTAATTACAAACACTTTGTATCCAGTAACTTTTATTCGTTACCTTGGCAATTGAAGACCTGCCACTAAATTGGATACTAGAGCATCTTTGTCTCTGATGTGCATACAAGGATCATTTATTTGACGGTTCAGGAGAACTCCCAGACAATGAAGCTGAAATTTAAGATAACCAGACATAGCAATTGATCAGTTGTCTAACTTTTTGAAAATAGCAATTAAGAGAAAAGTTACACCTCATATGTTATTCCGACTATTAATTTTCGTTAGAGCATTCGGAGCTGGCACATATTTGGATATGGATTGAGGATATGACCCTTCGAAGATCCTCCAAGTATATGAAAAAAAAATGAAGATGCATGTGTCTGACGCATACTCATATCGGACAATTACAGCGGAGTCCGAGTGATGTAGCCTTAAATTTTGCTTTATTGTCTTTCACTTCCTCAGATCATGCACAAGATTAGGCACAAATAACGCTTAATATTCATACACAAAAAGAAGCCTGACACGTCACATTCTAGTTCAATTTTTATTATCCTTACTAATTCAACATAATCAAAAGCTTAAAATTGTTATTTGCGTGGTTTGAGTTTGGCTGCTGAGAAAATGAGTAACAAAAACAAGGATAAAATATTGGAAAAGCAGCAAATAAGATCATGAAATAACAATCAAAACATAAACTCACCATATAAAGCTGCCTTCGACTCCACGCCAACGCGCCAGAAGAGAGTTTACCGGAAACTTGAGCAATGAAATCGGCGGTGACGGAGTCATTAGCAGAAGCGCAAAGAGCGGAGATTATATCAATGAGTTGTTGAGCGATCGGATCATCGTCGAAGGAAGAAAGCGCGTGGAGGAGAGGGGAGATGAGGAAGTGAGGGTGGAAGGAAAGGAGGGAGTTGAGAAAAGGAGCTTCAGAAAGGGCGAGGGAGAGTTGAGAGAGAGCGTAGGAAACATGGAGAGTGGGAGCGCGTGGGTTGGAGATGAGGTTGGAGAAGCAGAGGAGGCAGATAGAGCCGCCTTGTTGGGTGCGGAGGGATAGGGTGGTACGGTGGCCTTGCGAGCATTGAATAACGTCCGGTTCTTGATCGGGGTATTGATCGACGGCGAACGAGACGCCCGGCTCTTGCGAATCTTCAAACATCATTTTTCCCGGAAAGAGAGAGCGGCACTGATGATTTGAATTTTAGCGGGAGTTTTATATTGGTTTAACGGCGTGTGAAGCGGTTAAGCCCTTACCTTTTCTTGGATAAACTATCTATTTGATCCCCACTTATTCTCATATTTCTATTTTGATCACAAAACGTTTTTTAGAATTGTCCATAACATTACGTTTTGCTTCTGCTTTGGTCACTAGCTGTTAGGTTTGATAATTGAGTTAACGAAAGGCTTAAATATAAAATAAGTGTCCAAACTATACCATTTTTCACAAATATATACCTTAAGTATTTTTTACTTATCTTGGTGTCTAACGTTACAAACGTTACCATTTTAGGTGTCTGGACCGTCAACTGCTTTAATTTTTTTGTTAAGTGACACATGTCACAATTTACTGATTTTGAAATTCAATTTTTTAAAATTAAAAATATTATTATATTTATAAAAATAAAATAAAAATTTCTCTTAAATTATAAAAAAAACTCAAAATCCCTAAAATCCCCAAATTCTACCATTAACTTATTGTCCTTTTCGGCCACTACCATTGTTGCTGACGTAGTCTTTACCATCCTCCTTACATATGACGTTGTACTTATCACCGATTGACCGTCAGAATCGCATGGGATAGCGATTTTCATCCTAGGTTTTCTGGGGTATAAAAGATCAATCGGCCATCGATCGGTCACGATTTCATATGGGTTTTGGTCGCCATTGGGAGGTGAGGTCGGGTGGAACTTTGTCGATGGCCAGTGTAGGTTTAGGGGTTGAAATGAAAGTTTTCAAAGTTCTAGGGTTATAGCAAAATTTTTATGTTTTTCTTTTAAAAATATATATTTTAACTTTTTAATTTTAAATACTTTTTTTAAAATTACCAAATTATAACACATGTCACTTAATAGGAAAATTAACCCCGTTAACAGTTGAACACTTAAAGTGATAACGTTTATAACTTTAGGTACTGAAATGAGTTAGAAAATACTTTAGGCAGTGAGATAAGTCAGAAAATACTTTAGACACCTATTCATGAAAACAATATAATTTGGGACCATATTTTGTATTTAAGCCTTAACGAAAATAGTGGTGTGAAATAGTATGATAATATTTTTAGTCTTTAAGCTTACACATTATTTCAAATTGATTCTAATTCAAAATAATTTAGGGTAAAGAACGCAAATGAACCCTCAATTATAAGGCACTATTATATTAAGTCTCTTGACTATTAAAAGTTATAATATGATCTTTTAACTATAGAGTGTTGCTTTGTTGAGTCTCTCGACTATTAAAAGTAACAAAATGATCATATGACTATTCATTATATTTCAAACTCGTCCTTTTCCGTTGAAATAGACAATATTCTGAGTGGAACATTAATTTGTTGACTGTGATATGATAAAATTTGATCCCAAAATCTTAAACGACCATCATATCTCAGTCATCATATTAACGTCCAACTTAAAAAAAATTGCTAATTTAACGAAAAAAGATGAGTTTGGTATATAACGAACAGTCGAGTTATCATTTTGTAACTTTTAATAGTCGATGGACTCAACAAAACAACACTCCATAATTAAAAGACTATTTTATAATTTTTAATAGTCGATAGATTTAATAAAACAATACTCTATAGTCGAATGATCATTTGCGTTCTTTACTCTATAATTTAATAAATCTTCAATATTTAAAAATCTTATCAATTTGGTGCATAAAATCCCGAAACCCCTCTCCCGAATCCTATCAATTTCTTCAATATTTAAGAAATTGGTTCAATTTCTTCGAAAATATAATTGATTTAATTTATCAGTTTAAATTTTTTTTTTCTCTTTTTGTATAAATATAAGTGAAACTTTCTAAATAAATAAATTAAATTAAAAAAAAGAATGGGATAGAACAAGCATATGATCATATATATACTTGGGATTGCTTTGAATTACAACTCTTAACCCTTATGAACTGAAACTCAAATTACAACACAGGCTGCGATCAGGATCCTAGAACTTATATTCCTTCACATATGTTCCTAATTGGTCCCCGATCCGATGGCATTCGTCGTTTCCGTGCCGACGCCTTCACGGAACTCGTCCGATGAATGGTGCTATCCTTACTTTTCAAGTGTTGTTGTGGGGTACCCGGCCTCTCATTCGTAGAACTGATGGGAAGGAAAAGGACCAAATGGAATGGAGGAGGTAAGACAGGATAAGAACTCGCGCTGGCGGGAATTCCGGTACCGAATTGCTACGTCTTTCAACTGTTTTCTACGGTCAAGATTGCACGGCCAACTTCTGGAGGTGCTCGAAGAAGATTTGTAGGCTTACGTCGTCGGTGAAGATTACGTCTGATCCGGTAGCCATGTCGATGGGATTACTGTATGTTGCTGATGGGTTCAACTTTGCTAACAAAAACCTTGCCTGCACAAGGAAACCAAAATGAGCCCTTAAAAGAAGCAATCTAGGACTGATGAATTGGCTATGGTAAGTATCGGAAAACCGGACAGGGAGGGACGGTTTTCGACTTGGTAGACGACGTGCGGAAGGCCATGCATGGACCCCCAAAATGGCAATACCGCCATCATGGCCCCTATGTTTTCGGGGACCCGATTTGAGGGATTCAACAAGGCTCAACTCAGCCGAACCATGAAACTTTAAGTGCTGACAGACTGCAATTGTTACATTATGAACATGGTTCTGATCACGAAATGTACCAACTGGGATCCATGCTGATCACATACAACCAATCTAGGGACGGGGAAGCGTTCCTGAATAATCATTTCGGCGTCTACGTGTGGTGCTTGCAAAAGCTGTTCAAATGCCTGTCAAAAGAAATAAGCTTTACACATCAAAACCATAAACTGAGAACCTAGAAATCAGTTGCAAATTGCAGCTTAAGAACATTCTAAACTACTGATATATGATTGCGACCAGAGCCGAACATATGTTCAGACTTGAGCTAAATGAATCACTGAAGCCAAAATAACAAATACATAACATACTTCCAGGCTTAAAGAAACAACAAAACCGTGCTACTACGGCTTCAGCATACCTGATGTTCCGGCTGATTCTGGTAACACATGTTGCAGTTACCTGTATAAACTGTGAGCGCCTCAAGTTAAACATGAATTGAGGAAACAAAGAGAAAGAAGAGTTTAATGTAAAAGATGATGGATCATCCTTCCTATATTCTCCGAATTTCGAACAAAGTCGAATGAGATTGCGATCTAACCACCGTGTAGCATCAAACCCCTTCTAAATGGAAAAAAAAGTGATAGTTACCTAAAGAAACTATAGATCGAAAGTGGACTCGAGAAAGAAATATAACAACTGGTGCATAACGGAATAGAAGTTTAAATTACCTCCATCTCCATCTTCAGAGAAGTTATTCTCGCCATTACGACATCTACCGTCTCTTGATAAAAACCCTTTACTAATTCCTATATAGGACACATTATTCGCAGTTAGAATAGATTAACCAAGACACAGATTGAGAGAATTTAAACCGACCTCTTTACCGACTGCACTTTCCACCCATCGTCTCGTCACAGTCGTAACACGAAGCATTGTTTTACCTTGGGGGTCTTGATAACTGCAATTAAGATACATGAGATCACAATCATATTTTAAGGGAAATAAAGAGGACCCTTTTGAGTAGTCCATGCTGCAAACCTTGTAAGAAACTGCAAATAGAGCTGTGAATTTGCAGCTCCTGGATCATTCGGTCGCTCAGTTGCCAAAATATCGAACAAGACCGACAAGCACGTACTCCTGTTGAGGCCACACATTTTCCATTTCGTAGTGTTCCCCTCCCCGATGCTCGTGTCAGAGACATTAGTTCCTGTCTGCAACACTCATAGTAATCAGCTTAAATCCCGATAAATACTCGTAAATATAGCCTTCTGTAAAATGATTAAATGGTCCAACCTTCTCCAAAGATGTGAAAGGTCCAATGACCCCTTGAATTTTGATGTCCTTTGAACAGTTGACCTCAAGCATGCCACTGGAAAGGAAGGGGAAAATGAGCTTATCAGGAATCGAATGGTTCGAAAATTTAGACCTCAAACAAATACGAAAAGGACAACAAGAACATACACATGAAAGAGCTAACTTTTATGAAAGAAGTGAAGTTAAAAGGTTGAAGAAGAAGAAGAAGAACTAACTTAAAACATAGGCCAAGAGATTGTTCTCCATCCTTGAACATACACCTGAAAGAGCCCTTAAAAACAGAATGACCGAAACTTTCAGCTAGAACAACAAGCCCACATGTTCTTTCAACTGCAACTTTCATTTCAGCAACCCCAACCTGAGACGTTACGAAGATTACAACATAAAGAACAGATACGAATCATCGGAGGGATCGACCTAGATCGGCATAGCTACTGTTTTATGAACAAAAAGGGATCTAAAAACAAATTAAACAACCAGACAGATGGCACAAAACAAACCTGATCAAGTGCAGATGCAAAAGGTCTAGTACATGACCCTGGTTGACAAGCTGTTTCGCAAGACTGTCGTAAAATCTGACTGCTTTCCGAAAATATGGTGCAGCATCCTTATCGAGATCTTTATGTGAACGTACAGGTTCCGACAAGTCCTTCGAAACAATCTGCAGAAACCGAACAATCGATAACCAGAAAGAATCAGACAGCTAAACAAAGAATTTAATGGCATTACCGTCCCCGGCCCTTCGGTGCATGGACCACCAACTAAAGCAATAATCCTAGCTCCAGTTCCAGGCGTGCAGGCTCCAAGCAATCCCGACGCAACACTTAAGGCGACTCCGGTACACCTCGATACCCGATTACCCAGTTGTACAGGCCACTGATCCGTTTGCAGCTCATCCAACATCTACATTAAAATCAACCAAACACTTGATAAACATAAACAAGGTCAAATATTTCAAAATTAAGTTTCCCACCGGAAATTTATAAAACGCACCGAGTTGAGCGTGAATTCGCAATCAGAAGCAGGCAATACAAACCGGTTAATGCCCGAATTTGAGTACCCATTTTGCATGC